TTCATTCTAAGCTAATGGTGGTAACAGGTTTAGGTATTTGGATAATGTGGTCTTTATTGTCAAACTATTAAACACTGTGATCAGACTATGAAGGTGAAAGAGGGAAAAGTTGGCAGACTTATTAGTTGATTCATAGAGAACTTTTTACATTAAAGGAGTCATATTATACCCTATTTCAACAAGTTAACCTAGTTCCCTGGTGTCCTAATGTAATGTCTGTGACAAGCTTTGGTCAAAATACCATAAGGATGAAGCACAATAGCAGTTCAATCACCCTGCCAAAACAGCCCTGTTCAGAGCGCTCGGTTTTGAGTGCCTGTCTCTTTAAATGCAAATGAGACGCAGGCAATCCACCCACTACCGGTGTTACCGGTAATTAATGGCATAAACTCTGTGTAAATCTCAATAAAACATCACAGCAGGAAAAAAATATGGAGACATCTGCACCAGCTGGCTTAAATTACCCTCACCATATAAGTTTCATGTTCATCTTGCTCACATTGTCAAACAATAACTATGTTAGCTTCACTGTGGCTCCAGCAGCTAACTGCTGTTAGCATTAACTAACTTTACAACAACAATGAAAAACAAAGCATAAAATCTTAAAAATACTCACAGTTTCTGTGTCTGTCGTCTTGCAAGGGATAGTTGGTACTGCTCCCTCTATCAGCAACAGTCTTTTGGCCGGTCCTGTATTGTACTAAAACAGTCCCCGGTGAAGTGGTTTGCACACACCAACAGCTTTTTGCCGACTCTAGCCGGGACATTTTCGTTGTAAATTAAATGAATTCACTGGGCTCGTAACTCTTCTGAGACAGGGATATCGTGTAGAGGTTTGTGCTGTTCTATGAACAGATAGGCCTAGTAAGATGAGGTGGGTGGCAACATGCAGGTGAAAGGCTGGAATATAATAATGAGCTAGAGCAAATGACGTCAGAAACTACCAATTCCTGAAAGCTCCTGATTTATCAGCCCACAAAAATATTACTGAGTCATTTTATTCACCCTTTGCCTGCTGATAGGCCCTCCACAGTCCCAAATGTACATAATCAAACTTGGTTTTGCATAATATGTCCCCTTTAAAACTTGACCCTTTTAGATGTTTTAAGTGTTTGTAAAGACTGATTAATGGACTTGAATCTTCAAAGTAGGACTGATGGTAATAATGAAGCCCTATTAAGCATCAGCAGCCAAAGATAGAATCGTGTTTGAGGGCTTTTTTCCTTATAATAGAGCAGCTATGATAGGAATAAAGTTGAATCGGTTAAACCTTTCAGAGCAGGTGTCGCAGTTTGAGTACAAAAGATAATTAAAAGGAAAATTATTCTGACACGATTTAACAGTGTGAAGCAAAGCATATGAACAAACACAGCACACGTAATTCCCTCCCATTCACATAAGAGCAGAAACTCCTGCCCGCTCTTAGCAGACAGTTATCTCTCCAATTTTTGTGTTGTCATCTTCAATATATGAGAAAGACAAATTATCTGATAGGCAACGCACTTTGGCAGCCATATGAACATTTTAAGAAATATAAAGCTGTTCGTTTCCAATTAGACCTGCATCCATTTTCTCCTCATTTCAGTAAACGTCAGAGCACACCCGGGTGCAAAATGGTGTCACAGGAACCAACTCAAGTCTTGTTAGTTCTGAACATAGAAACAGAAACACTGTAACTGACCAGGAAATGTGTTACGGCGTTCCGTTCACACAGAAGATTGAAGGTTAACTTTTCTGTGTAGATTATGGGAAAGTATCACCAGAGACATTAGATTGTGTGAGCGCATTCCTGTTTGGCCCCGTCTGGTAACATTCAGGGAAAGGCTCCATGAATGATGAATGCAGCCCAAGCAGCAATTCATTTTGGCAGCTCAGGTCAGCCTAGAGAATGAATGACTCGATGGTTAGGAATGATATTACCATTTCTTTAATTTCCTGTCAATTTGAGGCTTTCGCGCAGTGAATATTCGAGACAATGTTTGTTTTTATTAGTCAGATAGGGCAAGACTCTTCCTTTGGAAAAATGTACCCAGTGTTTTATTGCATCCTGTTTGCATTTGAACACAGTGACATCTCTTAAATCGCGGTAGTGCTCACCCGACATGCAGTTTCAATAAAAGCATGCAGAGGGTGTAATCCCCAGAGTAGTTAGAAAAACTCTTCAGATTTTCAGCTATTCAGGGGATATTCGAAATTTACATCTTAAGCAGGCCTTTGACAGGCAGAAATGCACATTTTTTTACCTGCAAAAAGAGGGAGGAAATCTTCTGATAGAGAAGGTCCTGCTGCCAATCTACAAAAGAAAAACTTCCATATTGGTTACAGCCATGTTTTTTCACATGATTTCTTCCCACACGTATCACCCACTTCTGAGAATAGATAGGAGGATTTCTGATATTTGTTTCTACATCATCATAAACTCAATTACAGTATGTGTATGGATTTGTAAAAAATAACATTTAATCACTGTGATGTATAAAAATTATTGCAGCTCACGAGTTTGAAATGTGTGGCTCTCCAACCATTTCCACTCCTCATTTACTAATATTTACATCTGTAACTCCATCTGGCAATAGAAGAATGAATTAACCTGTGAATGAATCATAATTCATCCAAAGAGCGAGTAGCTCAGTTCCAATGGAATTTACATAGATCCCACAGTAATTCAGGATCATTTAAATCCAAATACCGCTGGGCAGAATAATCAACAAGTAATGAGAAATAAAATTGGTCATCTGTTCATATCTTTCACTATCGGCCTAATCAACAGGCATGGCTGCTCCCTTTCATTGCAAACAATCATCTTTGGAGGTCAGTCGCCTTCCTATGCAGGTAATTTATAAAGAGGCATGAATTTTTCAGTTCATACTGTATTACTTATTACTCCTGAGTCAGAAAGGCCAAATAGCAGCGTTATTAATATATGCATGTCTACCTCTGCTGCATGAATGTTAATATGAACTTAATTAGGCTTTTAATTTTTATTTTATAGAATGATCAGGCTTAAGAATTCATTTAGAAATAATCGGATTTCACTGAAACTGCTCATTCATGAGAAATTCACAAGAGTCTGATTTCCTGAGGAAATCATAAATCTCCATGTTTGTTCTAGGAGAAATGCAAACAAATGGGAGGGATGAAAAACAGAAGAAACATTTGTGCTGCATGTCATGAAATTCAACTGCTTTTGATCGCCAAGCTCTTGTTTTTTATTTTTCATTTGACAAAACTGAGGAGTCTTAAACACTTTCTCTGAAAACGTTCAATCCAATAAATATACATTTCACATGATAGGTCACCCTCTAACATAAGCCTTTGTTAGTGACTCACAATCTGTGGTACTCTCTACATAAAACGATTTTGGCGCGCATAACGGGAAAAAGCTTAACTACAGAAATAAATTGTCCTGCGATGCTTGGTTGGTGTACTGAAGAACAAAAAATTTACAGAAATAATTCACAAACTAACTGGAATTCTCAAAAGAAAAAGGGATTTTAGTCATGCCACCTGAACCTGAACAGAATTCCAGCTTTTGTGAACTTGTGGTTTATTTCATGCTTCACATGGGCTTCCTTTTTTTTTTTACATTGCTGTAAACGAATGCTTTTCATGTCACACATGCAATAAATGATATATCACCACAGCAACAAACAGGTGTTTTTAATGTAAAGATTGAAGAGAGCAGCATTCTTGCAGTGCGCCGTCCCCCTCTGTCTGTGCGCGTAGTCTCTGTTGTTTTGTGGCAGCCGACCGGAGCTCCGCACTCGTTCAAACGCAGCCAAGAGTATATCAAATCTTTCATTTTCCCCGTTTGGTGGGCGGTTTCTATAGTCTCCCTCAGAGTCAACACATTGTTCTACTCTCTTGAACTACACAAATCCAAATTTGGCTTTGGTTCCAATAGTTTTCGTCTGAAATGCTGGCGCTAATGCAACACAGCAGTCTCTGAAGGTTGTATGCTGAACTATGAAACTGTCCCACTTTGGTCTCAGCACACAGCTCCAGCTGGGTGGACCGGGCGTGTGCAGAGGATGGACTTGAGATGATCCACTGGGTAGCAGCTGCAGCACTTAAACAGCCATATTTAATAATGCATAACGTAAAGCCTCAAAACTATTTAAGCAGAATACATGAAAATGCCTCTCTTGCTAAAATTATCATGAATAGACAAGTTGGATACGAATGCTAAGAACTGTATCGGATGGTGAAAAAGCAGTCATCTGTTATAAATTTGATCATTTTGCCATGGAGATCAGAGAAAATGCCTGACTTACTTGTGAAATAAGAGAACTGTGCTTTTTATTGGTAAATGCTTTTAGCCTGAGAGTCCTCTAAAGATCTCAAGTGGTGAATAAAACTAAGATTCTTACCCTGGTTCTTGAACACAAGCTGAGGTCTAACAGCATCTATTTTAAACTCTCAATGAAATTTGTCTGGTGAAATGTTCAAAGAAACGTTGAAATACTTGTTTTCCAAGTCTAATCTCGATCAGAGGTCTGAGATCTGTAAGAAAGACAAATGTTCAATGCAACCACTAAAAAGATCCCGCTCTCCAATAGCCAAACAAGACTTATGAATTTGCATTTGCACCTTCCCTTATTAAGATATCGACGGCATATTTCTACATGGCTGGAAGTGTAAATTATTAGCATTAACATCACTGGTAAATGACTCTCTATAATGAAGCCAATATCAAGCCCACTGGGTAACATAAACACTGAAAACGGTAAAAGAAAAACAATAAAGAGGAACACCACAGTAGGCTCTTGAGAAAACCGCCATTGATTTTTTTTTGCATAGATTTTTATATTTTACTGATTCGCCCCTGCTGCTGTCTGAAGTTTTCAGAGAGCGGCAACAGCCCCCGTGTATTCCCTCTGGCCTGCCTTTGTGCTTACCCACGCCTCAACAGTGCCACCTTTTGACAGCAGCAGAACATCGGCCTCTTGATGCTCAGACAACTCGCAGATCAGGAAACACGGCGAGAGACAAAACAGGCGTCACTTCGCTGGCTTCTGGTACATTCTGGCCAGGAAGTATCTCTCGGCTGAATCCTTCCTGCTGGCATCTGGCTTCACAGTCCGAACGCTACCGAACACGCTGGAGAGCTTCTGTTGGAGTCCATGCGCGAGGAGCCCGTCCCAGTACTTGCAGAGCAGAGAGCCTCCGGGCTGTAGAATCTTCTGGGCCAAGTCTATCAGCGACAGACAGATTGTGATGAGTCTCTCGTGGTCCATGTCTCTGAAGCCGCTGGCATTGGGCGCCACGTCGCTCAGGATGACGTGCGCCTGGCCGCCGGGGAGGAGCTCCTGCAGCCTGGCATGCGTCGCAGGGTGGGTGATATCATGGTGGGACAGGAAGTGGGCCCCATCAAGAGGCGGTATGTTCAGCAGATCGATGCCAATAACTGCGCCACGTGGTTGGACTGGGTCTTAGAACACAAAAAGAGGCACGGACGCAGAAAACTTAGAATCTCAGGTGCAACAATTACTGGAGGAGCAGAGCAGTAAAGAGAACTCCCATCTGTCTGAAACCCTCCATTTCCAGCCTCAGGGCTCACCTATCTGTTCTCACATCCTATCAGTTTAATACAATGGAAACAGCAGCCTTCAGCACAATCAAGAGGAAGAAACTAAATAAAATATAAATTGATGAGGTTCGACTCAGGAGGGCAGAACAGAAAAGAGTAGCAGTTCTTAATCCTTAAAGCCCCTTTGGTGTTCTTTTTAATAACCATTCCCCACTTAGATAATGTTTTAATCATGAACTGATAGTAATGTGAACATTTCAGAATAGCTTAAAATACCTCGAAGCTTTCCAATCCACCACAATCAATATCACATCAGTTTCTTCTTCTTCTTTTTCTATTTGCTAAACTTGTAACTTGATCTGCACTCACAGCTGCATAATGACGCATATTCAGGTTAACTACCGCAATGAAAAAAGGACTGAACACAATGTACTTTGATATAATGTCACAACTACAACTCTACTCTGCAGAAACATGCTGACACAGCACCTCAAAACAGAAGTCCGGTTTAATGCTAATGACTAAAAACCAAAGAAAGCATCGTACTCTACTCCAATTTGACTGGCAACAGGCAAGCATTGAGTAAAAAAGAGCACATGATGTAAAGATGGGGAAGGGATTCACTCAGGTGACTCCAAAGTAAATATTTCAGGACTGTTTGTGTCAAACTGAAAAGCATCTTCTGTGGTGCATAAAATTGAAATGAGACAGAGAATCCAGAGCAGAGCTGGCAACCAATACTGAAAGTCCTTGATCTTAGTCCGCACCGCATGAAAAGTGGATGCGATTCTGTAGTCAAATCACCACACGGGCTCAGTAAACACTTCTGAAATCTGCTGTCAGAGACCGCTTTTTATTGTTCATCAAACTAGAGTCAATTTAGTTTGACTCTGATTCGTACTGAACTCAAAGCGGTTTTTAAATGGAAGCCATTTTTGGGGAGGATTTTAGAAATGAATATGCTGGGTTTTTGTCGCCTTTCATACAACTAAGCTGAAGCCACACTACAATTTTAAGTGCTGTAAAATCTATGACTCTGCAGTTAGTTAATCTCTGTGAAAAAATTGATTAATCTCGAGTCATTGAGTGATAACTATTCTATAAATTCTAAATAACATAAAGCCCAGCAATATAAGCAAATATGCCCTCAGGATGTAGACAAAAACTCACACCAAAGACACCACTTTAATAGTGATGAAAGAACTGCTGTGAGTGGACCAAATACCTATTTTAAACAGAAAAATCCCAAAGAGGCTTGATCTAAGGCTCTGCTCAATCCTTATGTTTATATTCAAACTCACCAATCAAGAACATTTCTCTTTTCCTTCTGTTTAAATTAAGTTTTGGTTCTGTATATTTATTTAGGAACACCTTGGCTCTCACCTGTCCCGCTGGAGTTGACCCTTTGGACAGCCACCTGGCTCCAGGCCCCGGGTGCAGCCCCGCAGTCCACCACGCTTTTCCCGGGCTGTAAAATCCTGAACTCGTCATCCATCTCCAGCAGTTTGAAGGCGCTCCTGCAGCGAAAGTTTTGCGCATGAGAAGCTTTGACGTACGGGTCTCTGAGCTGCCGCTGCACCCAGCGCTGCTCCGCCGGGCTTTTCGCCTTCAGCTTCTTCATTACGCCGAACGACGAGTGAAAGCATCTTTTAAGTATGGAGAAAATCCCCATTTGTGCCACGGAGAGGGTCATGTGTACGGGTGGACGGTCATCTGTGCATGCTTACAAATGCCAGTTCCCTGAGTGCAGTTGCTATTTAGGTCCCCTTATCCTGAAACATCAGCTAAACAATTATTCCTACAAAGGATATACCCTTTCAGATTATTTCAAATAAACATCAGCTAATTTAAAATTACATATACTGTGTGTGATTATTATTATAATAAAACGCTGCATTCAATGGAAGTAAGTTAGGCACAAAATGCTTTTTGTGTAACGTAGTGCTGCACGGCGGTTGGTTGGTTCCTACTGCCTTCAACAGTTGTATTTTCAAGTCGGACATATTTAAAGGTAACACAAAATACAGTGATTTAGATCCTGTAATGTCATAAACATCTACACGTAGACGCCGCGTTGAGACATTAGCCAGACTGAAAAATCAGGCTATAGAAACGTATATGCAAACATTATATTGGGGACATGCAGCGATACGCCGACAGACACCAACAGCCCAGTTTGGGATGGATTGCGCAATCAGAGGTTCAGCTCGGCTCCTTGCTGCCGCACATAACGTTCCAGCCCGTATTTCAACAGAAAATGTGCAATTTCAGCGATTTTGACAATTAAAATTATCGCAATTAGTCATACATAAAGATCGGCGGACAAATAATAATATGTCATCGTATGTTTTGTCTTGTGAGGATGACCGCACGTCCCATAAATATATATACACAGCTATATAATTGCAGTCTCTGTGGCTGTGCAAGTTGAAAACCTTGGAAAAGAATCATTTTTCTCAGATTATTACGTACATTGGCACTCGGCATCCCCTACCGGTAGCCCCCTACCGGACCCCGGCACCGGTAGCCCGGTATCCCGGTAGCTCAGTGCCGCCGCCCCCCTAAATCTTTAAGATATTTGGTTGAATCTGCTTTAGTTTAGATTCTCATTGGTTTGTTTTTAGTCATGTGACTTGTTTTTAGTCATGTGACAAAAACAAGGAAGTGGGCGGGCTACCGCGCTACCGCGGTAAAATACTAAAAACGGAAAACCGGGAATACCGGGAAAACCGGGGAATATCGGGGGAAATGGCCACCGGTTCGATATCACTGTCGGAGTAGCACCGCACCGAACCCCGGTATCGCGGGAGCCCTAGGACGCAGTAGCCCGGTTGCCCGGTAGCCCGGTAGCCCCCCTTCCGGCTCCTTAACTTGTTCGTCCGTTGCAGTGAGAGTCCGCCATCTTGCCATTTGAGCAAATTTAAATCACTCTGGAATTTGGAGAAAAAAAAAAATCTGGGGTTTTCAAAACATTTAGGGAAACTCCAGATGGGAAAACAAGTAAAAGTTGCAAAATGACATATTATATATAGATAGATATTTATACATACATACATACATACATACATACATACATACATACATACATA